CAACTCTAAGGACAGCCTTAAGGGTGGTTCCTGGAGAAACACAAAACAGACTTGACTTGAGACCCACACAAGAGACCCACACCTTTGTCTTCTCATCTGTCATGTCTTTGTACATGTCTGCTCTAACATGCTGCAATTTTATCCTCTCCCCACTCTTCCACACCTTCCACCCCCCTCTCTTTCTTCCAGGCTACCGTACTTATTGCCATTATTTGAAAATTGAGGTCAGCCAATCGCACCCAGTAATGAGAGCCTTTTGCCTCTTGCTTCTCCATCAGCCTGGCCCCCAAAAGATGCAGCGCCTCCCGCCCAGAGATGCAGAAGGTAAGCGGTTAGCAGAGAGCCAATCCCAGGAGCAGAATAAGTGGAAAGCTGCAAGAAGCAAATTGCTCTGGAGGTGGAGAAAAATGTATCATATGGACCAACGTTTGCCAAAGCCACCCCAAGCTTTCCCCTCTGCCTTGCTGTGCCAGTAGCAGACATAGGGGTGTCTGCAGGGAGGGTCAAAAAAATCAAGATGGCAGCACTTCGATCACCCAGTTGCAGCAGCCATCTTGACTTTTTTTACTTCACCCTGTGGAATCCCCTGCCCGTATAGGACCCAGATACAGGGAGAGGTTAAATGGAGGGGGGGGGGGAACCCTGAAATAGTCTTATATATTAAACACTCCAGGGAAATGAGTCCAAAAAAATTAATTCCCTTCCTTTCCTCTCTATTTCTCTTTTACATTTGTATCCTCCTCTAAAAGTCTTCTTTCTCTAACTTAGAGTTTTCTTTTTAAAACCGGCATCAGATTGCACGAAAGAAACCCATCAGCTAGATTATACCCACCCACTCCCTGCTCCCTCCAAATGCCTTTTATCTGATTATCTTCAAGCTGACCCCCAAACTTTTAAGGCCTCCATTTTGATCCGATTCTTTTCTCAGCAGGAATCAAGCTCATGAAGACCATGAATTCAGCACTCAGAGCATCAAAGGGCCAACAGAACCGGGTCCGATGGGGCCTGGCATACACCCTCATCAACAACCCTTCTTTGCTGCCCTACCGAAAAGGGGCTCTTGTGGATGCTACAGTTAATGGGACGAAAGCCAGCATCACAAAGCCTTGATGGAACTAGCAAGCATTCTTGGAAGCAGTGGACTTCCATCAGTGGAGGATGGAAGGATGCCATGATGAGTTTTCTTCTGGGGTTCTTCAACTTCTTCCCATGCCTCTTTCAGGCCTATGCATATATCCTGACCTGTTTATAGACTTAGAAGACAACAGAGGCTTAGTGGCCCTCCCTTCCTTTCCCCACCCCACCCCGGGGCAAACAGTCCTTGATGGGCATGAAAAACAAGCAAGTATCTGAATTGACCCAACGCTGGTCTTTCTCTCTCTGTGACAAGATGGTCCTTAGTGCATGCCCTCCTCTTTTTTGATATGAGAAATCTGGCATTGTTGCCCTTCAAATTTCTCAAGTTTCCAGGCCTCCTGAAGTGAATGGCACATCCTAAATCTTGGGGGCTCACTTTTAGGAAGAAAGGAAGCCAATGCTGTAGGTTTAGACGTCTGGGTTAAAAGCAGAACAGAAACTGGAGCAGTCCACAAAATGGGGATTTGAGGGTTTTGCAAATGTGAGTAATGGGTTCCTTTTGAATGTTAGGGGTGGGTGGGGTGTGAGAGGGAGAATTTATATAAATGCATTGAACAAACTGTCATATCTTAGTCTTTTAAATTCCCACATACACTGTTCCAAACTGTCTGGATGTTTAACAGGACCATTGCGATTTCTCCATGGAATTAAAAGTGTTGGATTATAAATATGGGGAAGAACAGGGGGCTGGACAATCAAAATATGATGCAGAAGAAAAAACATATTTCAGACATTTTAATCCTTCCAGTTCTGATCAGTTATATTGATAAAGTCCCTACACAGTTCAGTTATTTTCAACAATCCCTCTTCATACCTAGACATGGAGATGCTTCTCCTAATTCTTACCTTGGCACATGAGGGTTCCTTCCCATCTCCTCAAAATTTAAAACAGCTGCAGTAGCAGGAGCTGCCCAGATGAATTTCACACCTAGTTAATGTAGAGTAATTAAGGAATACAGAAACCTGATTTCTACTATTATGAGTAATAAATGAAACCTCATTGTTAGTCTCTTGGAGAAGGTGTGTTTTTGTCATCTTCTCCTGCACATCAGAGGCATCTTTCTTGGCCCATCAAGTCGAATGCTGGAAGGGTGCATTTAATGGGGAGGTTGTTTTGAGAATGCTGGGACTTTAGAGAACGAAACTGGATAGAAAAGGGTGTATTTGTAGTCTGGCCCTTGTACAGCCCTTGCTTTGCTGCAGAAGATCTTTTCCAGGTCTCGCCTGTTTAAAAAAAGTCAGGTAGTAGGGATGGAAAAAGACTCTTCCAGAAAGACAACACCTTTGACCTGGAATACTGTGGCTAGAATTTCCATTTCCCAATCTGGAGAATCTGTAGACAATCACTTGTTTGCTTCTTCTCAGCAAGTTTTGGAAGAGACTTTCTTGTAATCTCGCACTACTCTGTATCTGACAAGGTTGAGCTTATATATCTGAAAGCTCTCCAGCATCTCAACCAAGTCAGGATAAGCATCCTCAAGAGATCAGTCACATTTCCCCCCCCCTCTTTTTTTTTCCTACCCCCTAAGGAACAGTTCTGGAATCTCAGTCTCAAAAGCTTGGAAAGTTTGAGACAGCCTCAGCTCACCTAATCAAAGTGTGGCCGGTCTGGATTTTGGATGTTTTTTTTCTCATTGCCAACTTAGCTACTATTGTTTTTCGTACACAAGAACATGGGGAACCTGCCCCAGTTCAAGCAAAGGTTCTTGATCTAGAACAGAGGTGTGAAACCTTTGCTTAAACTGAGAGCTGCCAAGGGCCATGCTGCAAAAAGTGGGTGGGGCCAGGGAAAGACAGAAGTTGGATTTTCTACACAACCCCAGATTGCAAATATCTTAGCTATAATAGTTAAGCAAGCAGAACAGAAATAAGCCCCAAAAACACAGCTGACTTTGAGTCCCTCCATTGCAAACAGTCTTTGGCGCTGCAGGAGTCAAGTAGACAAACACCACTTTTTCTTCAGATTTCAGGACTTCTTCAATGTCACAAGTTTTGTTTGGATTCTTGCTGGCTTGGAGATGGTTCTTGAGAAAAGTGGTGGGCTTCTCGGAGCTGGCCAAAGCTACATGGACTGAGGCCTCACGAGAGCCAACATCATTCAGGGCCTGGCAAGTATAAAGACCTTCATCGGCCTTGCTAAATTTGGTGACAGCCATGGATCCATTTTTGAAGACCAGAAAGCGCCCTCGGCTCTGTGAGGAACCTGCAGAGTCTGGTAACACATCCTCTTCTCTTTCAACGTTGGCCCCACTGATGGCCACATTTTGATCAGCTGTCTGGATTTTCCACTTGATCTCTGGTGGTGGTTTACCCACAGCATTGCAGTGCAATTGAAGTGTAAGCCCATCCTTCAACACATTGTCACCCAGGCTGGAATGGTAAATCAATTGCACTAATGGAAGTGCACAGTCCAGCTTCAAGGATCCCCCAAGAGTGAGACCTTTCAGTTTCTCAGGAGTAGCACATGTAATGAACTTCTTCTCTGGAATTGAAACCAGAGTGCTCTGTAGCCATCCATCCAACCACCAAATTCTACAGGTGCAGTGAAATGGATTGTTGTTGATTTGCAGCTGAGCTAACTTAGGCATGGAGCTGAAGGTCCCCTCTGAGAGAGTAACCAGCTTATTGTCACTCAGCCAGAGAGAACGAAGATCCTTCAGGGAATGAAAAGCTTCTGGTGGAACCTTCTCCAGGTGGTTATTACTGAGCTTCAGCTGTTGCAGAGATGTGAGATTGGATAGGTCTCCCCAGGGGAAATTCATAATCTGATTGTGGCTGAGATCAAGGGCTCGCAGGTGTACCAGAAAAGCAAAGGTGCCCTCAGCGATGATGCCAATTTCATTGTAGGACAGCCATAAACCTTGTAATTTTGCTGTGTTGGCAAAGGAATCTTCCCACAAGGAGGCAATGCGGTTGACAGACAGGGTGAGGGTGGTGGTGTTGGAGGAGAGGTCCTGAGGAACCACCTGGAGATCTTGATAAGAACAGTCTGCAACATGTCGCTCATATTTCTTCTTTGCTGCACACCGACAGACCTCTGGGCAGCTCTGGGTTCCCACAATGAGCAGTGCAGTTAATAAGCAGGTGAAAGGGCCCATTGCTTTCTCCACATTTACCTGCAAAATAATAACTGTAGAGATTATCTTGCATAGTTCTGAGATCTAGTCCAACCAAACAATTGGCCTATATCTGTGTTGTATCATCTGAGATTGTCTGGAGGTTAAGTCATGGCAACTGGACTTCTTTTCTTTTAGGTTAGAGACATTTCAGTATTTGTCCAAGCAGCTTCTTCATTCTAAAAAAGTTGGCTAGGGGGACCCCATAAGTCTTCCAGGGTGGCTTTGTTTCTTACTAGCATGATAGGCTCATTGAAGGGACAATAGGAGATGTGATTAGTAGAGTCTTTGAGATGCAGAT